CCGCCCTTCCCCTCTCCTTACTTCTGCGGGATAGCGGTACACAGGGAGATAAGGGTAGGGTTACAGCTGGCAAGTCTCTGGGCACCAAACCACTCATCATCTCGCCAATATTTTAACTGCTCCTGAAAATAAAAAGCCCCATGAGCTGTGATCAGACTTTTGACTAATTTATATCGTAAAGACACATCATCATTATCCTCTGACTACCATATCAATGGCCAGGGATGGACTCCCAAACCAGACGTAAGTTGCAATTGAGTGAGTCTTGGAATTTGTCTCTTTTCCCATGTAAATACAGAAATTACACCAAAATGATGTGCACCGGCTACATTAATACTTTTATACAAAGGCAAAAATAAGCGTCTGGAGCTTTGACGAAGTCTGGAGGTATTAACATTAAAACAACTTCGTTAATTCCCGTACCTCAGGGGCCTCCAAGTCTCCGCCATACACTGCTATCAGGTCGTCGTAACTGTCCCAGTGTTCAAACAACGTGGCGAGGTGTGTCAGCTTGGTTTGGGCTATCAATGCCATCTTTCTTTTGACGATATCCCACTAAAATAATCAAATATATTAGAGAAAAGAACAAGTGAAACAAGAAGTTTGTTAGTTAATAAAACCTTTTACTGTTTTCTTTATTATGGCATCTAAGTAACTTTCTGCATTTTTTAAATTTCTAATGGAACTTACCTTGTAATCGTCAGAGAACATTTCATCGTCGGGGATCTGCTTGACCTGTAATAAAAAAGAGAATTAAGCTTTGACTTCTAATTGGATAATCAACGCTTCTCTTTTTGGCTCCCCATTGTCTGTCTGTCTGTCTGTCTATGTTAACAGAGAGAATCCCCCCATTGTACATCGTACAAGCTGACATTCGTTCAGCAAGAACAACAATATTTGTATTTGGTAAAAATTTATTCTGACAGCTAATATGACTGTGAACTCTGACGTTTGAACTTAACTTACATAAATTAAAAATTGACAGTTAATACGGACGATTTGCTGTAGTTGTAAGTTCCCTACACTTGGTATAGATTTTGTTTTGATGTTTTTCGTCGAAATTACCCACAACATATGTAGCCTTTAAAGTATGGCGGGGGTATGGATGTTTTTATGGAATTGATCAGAAAAAAAGATGGTAACGGGGTCCCGTTTGTGGAAATGTTATATACTGGTGTTAACAAATGACTGTTAATAGGTTGAGGTTTGGATGTTAGTGTTCTGTGACCGATACAGTCTTTAATTGACCATGAATATTCCAAACCACAAGAATTTAAGGTATGCGCTGCAAAAGGAGAATTTTTCAAACAGGGTCGATGTAAATAAACATGTATGCATAACCTCAATCTAAATGCGGACCCCTTGGTCACTCACATGTATCTTATTATCTTATATGTCGTATTCAAGCCTTTTAACAACTGACAGAATAAATCATGCCAATAAAGTACGCTGTCTTTGAAATGAAAGTGAAATCTTCTCTAGGAAGAAAATTTAATGTATCTAATGAAAATTTAGTTTAAAATTGATTGTCATGTTGTCCTTTTCAAATTTTCTCTACAAAAATGAGGTCTTTTTCGGAATTTTTTCCACCTTGCTTTAACGCGTTGAACTGTTTCAGTAAGATTTTCGTCCATCAAATTTATTCTCTGTCAGACGATATATTGATATATTGTATCATATATGGCAGTACATTATATATTATATATCAGGGTAATGGCAGGCGTTCACTGATCAAGGAGTAGCCTTCCACGAGTTGTTCGATATTGGTGATAACTTTCAGTATTCACGGTCAAACTTGTCGTTATCCTAGGGACACTTATCTTTGGGATCGGAAATCAAGGACGACGGCAAAATCGATGGGAAAGCATGTTTAGTACTCTTTTATCCGAGTTTACGGCGAGAGTGACTTTAAACTCAAGATACGGACTTAATTATTATACATAGATCACATAGACCCCATTCCCATAGATTTTAGATCTATCTATCCCTGTGGGGAGTCTCACTAGATTACTGTCAGCTTAGCCGGCTTAAGCGTCTGTCCCGCCTACTAAAAGCTGTAAGGGGGTAATTAACTATGGTGCCCGCTCGGCTGACTGCAATTTAGCGTGAACTCCCAGGGAGTTAGGTCGATCTAAATCTAAATCTCTTGATCGATCTAAATCTCTGGGAATGCACCCATAGAGAACAGCAGGGGGCTTACTTTGAGGAGATATACCTTCATCTTACATATATCCTGTTTTACTAAACGCCATTTGTGAACATTTATTAATATCAAAAATAAGGAAATGCACCTTGTCAGGTCGAAAATTATGCTTCCCATTGAACTTATGAGTCAATTTAAGATTCGCGTTAGAGTACAGATTATTTTTAAAACACGTACTGGCACGAGGAAGTGTATCTTTGCGATATGAATGGCATCAAAGTAACTAGTTCACACCTGTAAATCATCAGTAGAAAACTATTTGCTCTTTGCTTTGCGTGCGCTATTCACAAGCTGAGTTACCAGTCTCACCGGGATGCTGCACCTAAACTGGTTTTTTGAACCATTAAAGTCTCTTACTTGATGATCAGTCACGATAGCAAAACTTGGTTGTTGTCGGAGACAATATGATGAAATATCCATTAATTGCTGTCGAATATGTAAAAAGAAAACGGTATTTAAAACATTGTGTTTCCAAGTTTAGACCCCTACTAGGCTATACGTAATCAATGAAAACGCAACAGTAGGTTTTTGCTGAAAAAAATCTGCAGCAAATATTTTAAGAATCATTTTAGTTCTTTTTCGTAAGCACACAAAACTTACAAAAAAAAAGAAACATGTGCCAGTAGCTACAATAAAGCCTGAAATAAACCCGAAATCAAAAAACGTTTTAACCAAAGAGATAAGAGTTTCTAACTGTAAATAACGTTAACGTCAAGATCAAAATCAAAACTGTATGTTTTGTTTAATTATATCTTATTCAACATTTGTTTGTAACAATAACGATTGTGTTTGTCTTTCTAGCAGTAGAAAAAATCCTACCCGCTTAGTCCTGAGATGTGCATATCATAAAAAAGTAATTTTTCTGAAATGTTGGCCTGTTTGGGGGAGTTTTAGCGCGCACAGCCATTTACGTCTCCGCCACGAGACAATGATGTTAAAAGGGTGTAAATACTTAGGTATTGGCAGAGATATTAAACATTTAAATTATTTTGAGAGAGAGAGAGAGAGAGAGAGAGAGAATCTTCTTTCACTCAGGACCCGCCTTTCCAATGTTCATCGATTTTATCACAAAAAAAAAAAAAAAAAAGAAAAAAAAAAAAAAAGAATGTCAGTCTCTTCTATGACAGCGATTCGCGAAAAAGGTTTTCAATTCCATGTTCCCATTTAGGCAACACTTCGGTTCAATAAGAATATCGTAATGATAGTGATTAAGGATACAAAAGTTACCTGTGCAGGAAGACCGGGCGCTTTTTGCTCTAATTCATAGATTTTTCTTTTTTCCGTTAGCTCCTCCTTCCTCTGGTCTATTTCCTGGTCATCCTGAGGCAGCTTGCAGTCCAGGTGATCAAACACGTAGCGGCGACTGGGTCTGATCCAGCGATGAATCGGAAACATGTACGGAATGATCGATTCTTGTCGTTTGTCCTCAATACATACTGACTCTACATACCAGTCGGACGCCAATCCAAACTTCTCCATTGTAAATTCGATTTTCTGAATTTTCCCGAATTCCTTTAATGGTTCCGCCACGGGGAACACATCCAAAGAGCCTCTCTCGAGGTCGTCCCTCAAAGGGTGATCTAGCTTCAAGGGGGATGATTTCTTGCCATGATCATCGTGTAGTATAACCGTGACGTTAGCGTCGGTGCCAGCGCCTTTGCGATCTCCCGTCTTCACCTGTAAGACGTGTGTAGTTAGCGTAGCACTGTGGTGATTCCCCATTCCTTTGCTAATAGAACGCGGTCGTGTGCCTCCTTTAAATAACTCCCCAACACATGCCCTCTGACCCCTGCTACTACTTGTAAATGCAGCGCGGAGATTTAACCGCCTTATCAGTAAGGAAGACATGATTGCGGTGTTGAAAACTTCCCGAAATGGCTTGGAATGTAAGTGTGAGTCTTTTTGTGTGTTTGAATGGTGAACAGAATCAATGGCATTGTATTAATACGACTGCACCTTAATTACGGATCAATATTTCCTGTTCGATTTCGTGAATGGACGACCAGATGTCACGAGGTGAGGAGGCACCCGATTAGTGTAATTTTACAAACATCGTGCATCGAAAATTCTTCAGGTAAGAAATTACTTTTGGGTGAAAACGGTGATTTTACGATATACATTTTTGTATAACACAACCAAGTCGATTAAAGTGAAAGTGTTAAAACACATTTTCTATAGTTTTTCTTAACTTGGAGCTCGTTTAAAGGATTTTCTGTAAAGCAAACTTCAAGGGAAAAGAATGATATGTTTATAATATTTAAGTAGATATGAACCGCCTTGGCATGCAGTACAGTGTGATTTTGCTCCCTAAAAACGACACCGGAAACGTAAACTTCCACTAAAAAAAAAAAAAAAAGAAAATGAGTGCCACGCCACTGACTGTGATTACCAATCCTAACCAATAGGAAGTCAAACTGTCGGCACGTGACGTTCCTTAATGACAGTTGTCAAGGATGAAAGGACAGTTAGTTCAGACTGGTTTAACTGTGCGTGGGGACAGTAATAGCTAAATGACAGGTTAAGGGACAAAATTCACATCCCGTCGTCACCTCCCACACTGCAATGTATGCACAGATATAAACCAAAATGCTTGTGAAACATTTGACACCCGACCGCCTACTCATGATAAAAATAAAATGTTGCCGATGCCATGGATGCCGCTCAGAAACTCGAAGGCGTGATCACATCAAACTAACTTAAATACTAAATAGGCTAACAAACGTCACCGTGTGAAATATAAAAGATCTCTCCTTGTGTCTTGGCCTTCTTTATCCAATCTTAGCCCATTGCAGTCGTCATCTACTAAAATTTAACCTGATGCAGGTCCTGTATATATATTAATTTCACTGGGAAACTTTTTTCAAGGACGGGTTTTTTAATTACCGGTGGGTACCATACATTTAACTAACTCACGTTTTCTTTCGGATGCACTTGAGTCCCCCTACATGGTCTATATTTATACGTATATTGTAGCGTTGATTGTTATTGTATGGAAATACGTTATCAGAAGCGTTGTCTTAATTGTTTTCCAAGATACGGGTTTGTGGCAAAAACCTCATTTTATAATTATAGGCTATAACACGTCAGGTTAAATAGCTTGGAAGTTATGCACCAAATGTAGGTCTGTAATTAGTGCATACTCTCTTTCCAATTTGTAACTGAAGATCATGTTTAGCACAAACTAAATCTGCGCGGTGGAGAATTGTCACTGAAACTGTGTGGGAAATGATCTACCGAGTAATAAAAGCTGTAGCCCTAAAGTCTGGCAAGTGAATGTCTAAGGATGGAGCGGTTGAGTAGATCTTTCAGGCCCGTAGCCAGCAATTTAAAAGGGGGGTTCTTTTTTCTGAAATAGTGGACCTTTTTCCATAAAAACTTCATGTACCTAGATCAAATTTTACCCAGAGTGGACCTTTTCCCAGCAAAAGGGGCGGTTCTTTTGAACCCCCCTCCCCCCCTCCCCCCCGGCTACGGGTCTGTCTTTTCTACTACAATCTATACTCACCTGTTGGTAGAGTGCCAATATGTACCATAACTCTCTACAGTTACAAGTACATTTTACTTGGCAATGCCAGTAATCAATAGGTAACAAAATTCACTGTTGTTACAGGTAAATTTTCTTCATTGCATTAGTTGCGATACGGAAGTCACATTCAGAGGTCAGAGGTCATCAAGCCGGGAAATACTTCACTCACAACCATGGCACCAAGATGGTTACCTCTGGAGTCCAACCCAGACGTAAGTGAAATTAAGAGTAAATAGACTTAAATGGGTGTTTCTATGTAAAGAAACATATGATGCACACTTGTATGAATATTTGGGAGTGGGGGAATTTGGTATTTAACGTGCAAGTGCTTTGGAAGAAAGCGCTGAATCAGTATCACCCGCAATGTTGAGGTCGATTAGGGAAAATGAAAATGTCGAGACGTTAAATTAAAAAGCCTATACACCATAAGCATACCATGCAGCTAAACGTTAAGACTACTTTTTGTTTTCTCTTCAAACCATTTATTTTCATACTTTCAGGTGATGAACAAGGTGAGGCACCCCGAGTGTTAAAATCAGTCCATGTTTTAGCCCAACATGGCGCAAGGCGGCACATGTAGCACTGAACCTCAATATTACCCATGTGACAGGTTCAACACTCCTGACGCCCTACAGAAGGTTCACATTTTCTTTTTGAAAGGGTTGAAGTGCTAAAGGGTTGAGGGACTCACCTTACTGCTCTTGTCATTGATGTTTGGCTTGTTATTTCCAAATACCTGCTTGTTGATGTCACATAACATGTCAGTAGAATGTGTGGGTTACATCAGCAGGGCTGATATAACAGGATTTCTTATATGTTCAAAGAAGCAGAAGAGACAACTTTGCTTAAATTGTTCAGATAGTTGTATTTTTACAAGTAACATTGATGACTAGAAGTGTACTAGATAGCACATTATGGCGATGAACTTATATCAGATTTTCATTATAACATACAGCCAAACATATCATGTGAAATGTTTGTGAACATAAGAACTAGCTTATATGGAAGACTTGTGGGTTATCCATGTTGTGCCCTATAACTAATGTGTGGCCCTGAGGTCTGGATACATGAAACAAATATAATATGTCCAGCTATTTGGTATTTGTTGCAATAGAAACAATGTTCATTATAATGTTTATGTTTTGGCAGTAAGACGATCCCCTGCTATCTTGAATCCTGCAGTTTTAACATGAGTGGAAAGATATTCTCATGAATTCTGCAAATGCAGCAATGCGTCATTGTGATGAATCAGAAGTGTCTAGCAATGCTTTAGTTCAGAAAAAAAATCAATAATGTCTGAGGATATGTATGCTACGTGGAGAACAGATGATGCAATGGTCTAGACTTAGGTAGATGACAGGTTTTTTGGAATACAGCTGTGGATGAGCTATGGTATATATGCATGACTGTAATTCCTGAAGATGAGAATTAGAAGTCCTTATTTATGCACTTTGAATAATATTTTGTGCAGTATTTACAATTTTGCTAGATAATACCAGCAAATTCACTGTGAAGTTATGGAAACTTATTATCAGAACCGTAATTGTTTTGTACAGGTATATAATTATCCATATCTTAGCTGACCCAAGTTTTTTGGTTCTCCTCCCCTTCTTTTTTAAACCCTCACCCCTCCCACTTCCACTCCCACCCTCAACCATGCCACCAAAACTAAACTGTCAGTTTATTATTATCATTATTATTATTTCATTGCCCATTTTGTCATTCTTTTGAAGCTTAACAAAGCAATATCTAGGAAAGTTATAAAAAATTATTGAAGCAAGTAATAGCACTTTCAAGTACAGTCTGGCAGAGCATTCCCTGCTGTAAACAGTGCTGTTGTATTGATCTTGTGCTGCTTGTATTGGATTGAGAAAAAAAGGGGAATAATGTCTGAATAATAAATCATCGTTAACTGGGTATGGCTCATGGCTGACATTATATAGCTTATTGATTATTTCTGAATTGCACTTGCATATTAGATGAAGACTGACTTTCAAGTTTAGCCACTTGGCCTATGCTGATTTTTTATTACTTTGAATAGTTTTATTATAATTCTGATATTGAATGGTTTATATGTAAGCCTTCTGATGCTACTTAATGTTGAACAGAGTAAGATTTCCCACGAATAAGCGAATGTTAACAAATTTTCTTCGGTAAAACATTTTCCATGACTTATCAATCTTTGATTCTCCTTTGCTAACACTTGCCAAAACTTTGTAACTTTCTGGGAAAATGAAAAATCTCCTTGACTCACATTTTAGTGTAAGCTTTTCAAATTCTGATATACCATTGAGGTGTAATGTCTGGGTTGCATGCCATTCAAATCTGTCAAGGTTGCAAGCTCTGCACAGGGTGATAAATTTGATCACTTACGGCATCATTAATTCATGGCATTAATCTGTTTAAAAACTTATTCTCAGATAAGTTCAACAAGAAGTGATTTATGTACTTCACATGTCTTTACAAACTTGGTCTTGGGATACTTTCTGATTATACAACTAAATGGCATGAAAAATACATTTGTGCAATACATGTCTGAAGTGTTTTTTTTTTATATATGTAGTCATTTAATAACAAAAGCTCATAACAAAAATAATTGATTTTTCAGTCAATACTAACATGACATATGTGTCTTAGCCAAATGCTGAGTAAATAATACAGCTGCATGAAGTCCATGAAAATTTGGGAAATTGAATGGAATATTTCATTTAGAATTTAATTTAGTGCCTTTTGGAGTAATGTTATCTGTAGGCAAGAAGCTACTACTATATCTGTTATTTGTTAAGACATTTAAAGAAGCTGTTTTTTGTTCATATTCTATCAGATGGTGTTTTTTGTTCATATTCTATCAGATGGTGCATCGCAGTATGTTCCCGTCATGGTCATTTTGATCTACGGAATGGCACTGCAAACGCTGTGAAAAAATGTTCGTTTCGAGCCATAAGAAAGGACCTAAACTTACTAGAAAGCTGTTAGTCACTTGTAAATGATCCAGTATAACAATCTTACTGTCTATTAATATATGTCAACTTTTTGTTCTTCAGTTTGTTAAGCAGCTGGGTCTGCAGGGGCCCTATGGATTTGTGGATGTCTTTGGATTGGATGCAGATCTGTTAACTATGGTGCCCCGTCCTGTAGCCGCGGTTCTACTATTGTACCCCATTTCTGAGAAGGTCTGTTACAAAGGTGTTTGGTGTGTTCATCTGAAAGAATAAAGAATTGTTTTGCAATTTTTATCATAGCTTTGTTAACCATTTTGCCCTGTAACTAAATACTTTAAAGATCTAAATTCCAGTCACATACCACAATCACTTTGCATGTGTAACAAAAGTTTCAAGATGGTTTATATTTCTGTATCTTCACAGTCTGAGGCTACAGCACTGGGTGTGGAGGAGGAGAACAAAGAAGTCTACTTTATCAAGCAGACTATTGGAAATGCCTGTGGAACCATTGGCGTGATCCATGCCCTGGCAAATAACACTGACAAAATCACTTTGGCTGGTAAGTTGTCATATGGAATAGGACAATTTAGGTCCTTGCTAGGTTGATGGTAGAATGAAATTTAGTTTGGCTTTAAAAAGGAAAATATTTAAAGGGGTAACAGCTCTTTGTATGAGATCTATATTTCATAATAAATATATTGGAAGCAACTCATAAAAATATAATATATTCCATTTTACCACAAAAATGGCATTTATGACAATTATTCTGAAATCTGTGCTGGTCTTTGCAACCCCACAAATGAAAATATTTGCACTATTGGTTTTGATATTTATTTTTATGATATAACATTACGTAATTTTAACTAATTAACATTATCTAATCCTATATAATATCTAACACCATTCTTTACTAGAGGGACCTTTCAATAAAAGGGGACGCTACCGGCCAAATTTCGAACACTACATTTGTGTTTGTCCTTTACTTATCCTTTCGCTTGGGTTAATGAGGAGACAAAATATGATATATTCTATTTTACCACAAAAATGGCATTTATGACAATTATTCTGAAATCTGTGCTTGTCATTGGACCACATGACCTCCATAGATGGCTATACTCTGTAATAACCTCTTAAGAGATTATTACAAAAAAACAAACTTTTTACGAAAAAAAGGGGACTAACATTGAATGTAGAAATGGATTCATTAACCATTGGTAACTGTGGGAAAATTGTTGTTTACCCCAGAAAAATTCATTTTTTGGCCAAAATGAACAGTTGTTATCCTTTTAAATTTTGCCTAATTTTAATTTGGAACAAGCATTCAGTCTGGAAGTGTTGACATGTTATTTGGCAAGCAAAAAATAATGGCTGTGTTGTATTCCTGTTCTTGCATACATTTTAGTTTCCATATTTTTGTAGGAGGTAACAACTTTCTAGCTAACTTCCTAGCCAAAACCAAAGATATCAGTCCTGATGAGAGAGCAAAGAAGTTGGAAATAGACCCAGTAAGTACTGATGTGGGTGTGATGGTTGCATTTTTTCGGTCAACATATTTTTGAATACTTCATGATATGTCTCTGTCCCTTTTAAGATGTGACTGAGGAAAACATATGAATGAAGAGTTAAGTACATGAATACGATAGATAACAACTTTCCTAGCAGGGATGAGCTCAATTTTCAGAGACTTTGGTTATGACAATATGTGTAGTATGAGAGTCAGTAGTCTTATGTTAACTGGC